CAAGCAGCCTTAAGTAATTGATACTGACAACGCGAACATACTGAGGACAATTATGCAAATTGTTAAATCTTCTTAACATTTATTGTAGCTGAAAAAAATAAGCAATAAAAAATCAGTACATTCTGTTAATGTGACTTGCTTTGCAACCAGTTCTGAAGTATTGGTAATATCAAAGCACTATCTAGGTATACAAAAATCCTATCCATACAAAAATATATTTGCAAATAAATTATTTTTTTCAGGACGAATATATAGATAGTAATCACGAACTTGCTGAATATTATAGCAGTATTGATGACTGCTATATTCTATTCTGGCGATTGTTCGCAGTTGCTCATCTATAGTAGCTCTTATATTGTTCTTGTCTGGCAGGTTTAAGAAATCGCAACAGAAAACAATTTACAAGTTAGATTCTCTATTCAGTAAGATCCATCTACACAACATTGAAATAAGAAACAAAATCAAATTTATGAATGCAGCTGCCATCATTTAATCTTCAATTTTGTCTAAGAATTTTATTTCAAGATGAAATACTCCATACAAATAAACCTATATTATGAATGATCTATTTAATGATAAAATGATATAGAACCTATAATGTAGATTGAAAGAATATATTGAGCAATATAGTGAACATCTACTCAAAAGAGGATGATGATGCTCCATGTAATGTAATTTCAGGAAAGAAGATGAACATTTATGGAATCCAGTTTCACTTCATGACTTAAATGATTGATCAAAAGGTAGAGCTAATAGTTTTAGTGAAAGGAGAGACCTATCATGAAATCCTCTGAAATTTAACTCATAATTCATGTATTTCTCATAATTTTACTGCTTACATCTTAAAATGTGCATTATATTGGCACTCCTTGATATAATAATACACTTGAAGCTGTAAAATAATGCAAAGGTTAAGGTTGGTACTAGCCATTATGAAGTGCTATATAATCCACAAAAAAAGGAAGCATATAGCCTATCCATTATTAGAATATAATTTAAAGGAGGTAATTAAAGTGGATGAACTATACTGCTCATGTTAGCCATTAGCACGTATTATATAAATGGTACAATTTTCAGTCCTACTTATATGACTAGGTTAAGTAACAACAGGTGACAGTAAAGAGCAATGTGATAAGTTTAAACAAATTTATGAATCCAGTTAATCCAACTTGTAATTATTGCATTTGATAAAAGTGGATTTCAATTGGGGCATTTTAAATTGCAAATATCCATCTAAGCAATCTCTTGATTACTCATTAGGAAAGTGCTTTGGATAA